TAATGCAGAAATCAATATGTGTTAACGTGAAAAATGCCATGCAAAATACCCGGGTATTATCCACAGTTAAAAAAAAATGCTATACAAAGTACCCGGGTTTTTTGAGTGGGGTACGCAAAAAGGGGGGTACTTTGGTCAGTGCACTACAGTAATATTTTCAATTGATAATGAGGAGGCCGTATACATTTAGTTAGCTAATTGCAATATAGATGGATGTTTTACTAGCCAATTGCAAATTTCTAAAATATTATTCATCCCATCAAATTCTCCTGGAATTTGACTAACTTCATATTCTCGTTGTTTTTCTTTAGATGTTTCTTTTATAAATATTAACAAATTAAAATTTAATAATAAATATATAAACGTTATATTAAAAATTAGATAACAAATTCAAGCTCAACAAACAAATACCCAATATACCCGATTGAAATTCTTCATTATGCTTATTACTTAAAATTGCGGTTACTGAGTTGGCTTATTTTAATATAATATAAAATATAAAAAGTTAACGAATTAAATATTAATAATATAACAATATTTCTAAATAATAATATAAAGCCCAGATCCCATTATTCATTTTTCAATTTATATTTAACTAATATCAAATTTAAGTTCAATAAACAAATACCTGATTGAAATTCTTTATTATCATTTTGTTCATTACTTGAAATTGCTGTTAATTTAGTTTAGTTTAATATCGTATAATAATAATAATATTTAATATAATAATAATTAATATACTTTACAGAAACTTGAATATCTTAATATACAATAACTGCATAGTGACTATATAGTTACTATTAAGTTTAATAGGAACTATATAGTTACTACGCATTAAGATATTCAAATTTCTGTATAGTAATAATTTAATACTAACAATAATTATCGTTATCATTATATAAACCATATATATCATTATGTTGGCTATTATCATTATTTTCAATATCATTTTCTGGTAGTATATCTAAAACATTTGTTGCTATATAAGATGTTGAACCATTATCTGGTTCATCTTCAAATACAACGCTTTCTTTAAAAAATATTTTATTTTATTAGTAAATAATACTATATAAAAATTAATATAATTTTAATAAAGTACTTTGATTTTGACTTCTGGTTAAAGATTTTGGTGATGGCAAAGCATTATCAATATCATTGTCAATATTTTGGATATTTCCTTTATAATTTTTTTTTTAAAAAATGAATAAAAGTATATAAAAATTAATACTATACAGAAACCTAAATATCTTAATGCGAAGTAATTACATAGTAACGATGTAATAACTATATAGTTCCTATTAAATTTAATAATAACTATATAGTTACTATATCATTATCATGTAGTTACTGTGTATTAAGATATTCAAGTTTCTTTAAAGTAATACTTAAACTATTAATAAATTACTTTGATTTTGGCTTATTTCATCGTATTCATCCTTATCCTCATTTTTATTTTCATCTTCATAATAATAAAATTTTGATTTTTTTAAAGAATTTTTTTTGAAGATTTGGATGCATTTTTTGGTAAAGATTTAGTTGCTTTTAATATTTTTGATAAAGGTTTTGCTTTAGACAAAGATTTTGAAACTTTTGCTTGAATTCTTGAAGATTTAACAACAGTTTCTTGGGTTTTTGAAGATTTTGGTGGACGACTACACTTTGTTTTTTCTATAGTATTTTTTATTTTTAAAAAAATAATGAGATGAAGAAGTATAAAGTTTAAGCTTGTAAAAACTGACAATTTTTTAATGATTTTTTAACAATATTTATTTATTATCATTACTATTTATTTTTATTTTTATTTTTTTTAATATTAAGGTGACCACTTTGGGGTCTGGCATATTTTATTGAACTTTGATTCGAATATCAGAGCAACCACGTGGGCTACCCCTGACTTTATTACATTAACGAGGGTACAACTAGCCATATGTATAACTTTTGGTTGTCTATTTAAACAGTCTTGCATATGTAACCCGTATGAACTACACTAGATGCTATACCTATAACCCAACTAAAGGGATTATCTATTTAAACCCTCTGATCAACTTAGTGCTGTCGGATATTCTCCTCAAAGAGTGACTGCTGGGAAGGCCCCTTAGGACTTTAAAGCAGACATATACTTCCATATAAGGGAGTCCTTTATCCTTGTAGTAAACCTACCAGAGCCGTCCATGTCCCACAC